GAATCATGTCCCATCCGACCTATCGAGTTAATTTCCGCGTACCAAACTCTCAGACAGAAGTAGAAGAGTAGATAGCCAATCATAAGAGGCTAGCACCTAAGGCAGTCATTTATTGGTGTAAAGCTCAAACAATTATGGATTCTTCAAGTATGCTAGACATGTTGGCTCCCTTGACACGTTTTTTCTCCGTCTGTGTCTGAAGAAAAACTGACGAAATGGCGGAAAACGCTTACCCAAACAGTTACTTTTCCTTCAGAACATATTTGCCATCGACTTGTATTTTTGGGATTCTTGTCTTATATAGTCTTACAGCGCATCCATTGAAATCCGGCCAGAACTGTCGGGTAGTTATTCATCAAATATTTGCAGGACTTTCTACTGGTCTCAAACTCCAGTGTAAGCGGCTTGGATCCCATTTAGACCTGCGTGCAAATTACGCTGGAAATAAACGTATTTTAACTGACTCCTCAGCTTTGAATCATGACAAATGAAGGATAGCAGGTGCTCCTATGAACGCACCACCTGTAACCAAGTATTTAAAAAAGCATATATTATAGTCCCTCTTCGCAGTCGCAGTCGCAACGCAAAAACCTTAAATGTTGTCTGTTTTAAACTACCTTCTGAGTCAGCAGTGCTCGCAGTCCACCGTTTCTGCTGCAAAACTTCTGAATGGTATCCAAAAACAACACATGTAAGCACCCTTTGCTATTTGAAAAGATGAGAGATCGGTGAATCCGACCTTAAGCGTAACGTTAACGTATGCGACAAAAGCCCAAACTAACAGCAAAATGGATAAGGGCAACGTTTGTCAATCTTCTTTGGTTGAGTGTCGTGCCGACACAAAACCTTATCGTATGAAATAAGCGTTTCCGGGACTAAGGTCCATCTTGCAAAATACCGCTTGGTTGATTTGATCAAAAACTACTATTCAGCCATTTATTTTTTCGCGACCCATTATGCTATTTCCGCATGATCAAAGTGGCGGTGTAGGTGCGAGCCAGAGTCGCAGCACACTGGTTTGTATACCGGTTTATGGCTTCCGACTGTTAAAGTCTTTCTCATAACAGCGCGAACTGGGTAGTTTCGAAGTATTCTGGCAGCCATGCGTGTCGAGTTTGAAGCGTGGAACTCATATTCACGAAGACGACAAACCTGAACCTGAAGGTATGGAGTTAGCTGATGAATATTTACATGCCGGAAACGACCACTCCAGATGTAAGCCTCGTATGCTTTATGTTGTATGCTACCCATCAAGCTACTTAATAAGAAGGCATGTATAACTGTAAACTAGCGATCATTCGGTTATTGAGAAGGTTCCGTTAAAAGACGTTTTCACCTAACTTTATATAGATAATAACGAATTGTTTGCTGATTGCAGATGAGAGTAGAACATATGCGCCGAATATGTCCCGAGATACCTGTCCCGGTGCTCTATTTCCTGCTGGAGAACTATGAAAACGGTCAAGGTGTGCGACAGGCCGAAGTCTGGCAGTATGATGATGTTGGCACCATCGGTTGCGATGACTCGCGTAAGTTGCTCTGAACATTTAGATAAAAGATTCAAGAAGTCGGACTATGCTAGTTCTTCAATTAAAGATAATAAACCAGTATTATCAACTGCCTCTGCTTTCGTTTTTTAGTACGGATGGCTAAGTGATTGAAATTTCATCCTCAATGACGTTCGAATAAATTTTATTGGTACCGGATGAGAAAGTTGCGGAGATTAAGCCATTAAATAATAGGCTAAGTATTCCGATTTATTTCGTTGCCTGAGAGGCAACTGACGATAGCCAATCTTTCAGAAGGGTACCAAGTATCAGTTTGAACTCATTTACATACCTACATTGTTACAAAATAATAGGTCGTCATCATGCAAGAAAAGCACTGTCCTCAAGAAGAAGTCCTGAGTAGACGATATTGAGTAATAAAACATTAATTAGCCATAATAAAATAAAGGAACCAAAAATATCTTACTGGGAAATTGTAAAGGAAATTTTCAAGTGGGCGTTCGATCTCTTAAATGGTCAATTCAAACCAACTTTCTATTTTCTTAAACTGAGTGCTTTCCAAGAGCGTTTCGACGAAATAAAAATTTCACGTAAAATGTACAGCATAGAAATCAAGCAATCTAAAACAATGTTAGCAACCAGATACGATGAAGGTACCGTTTAGCGCAACCTTGTATACGTAGATCTTGCACTTTAGGCGTTTCTAAACGTCACCACGCAGCCCACGTAATGCACCTTGCACACAGAAGAAATTGATGACAGTTGACGCAGATAGGATGAAATCTGCTCATATTATTCATTCATGAGTTTGAATTTGTTGAAACTCCCTCAGGGCAGCAAACGCTTCATTTTCTAACACTGAATTGAACTGGACCACAAGGGTGACCCGATTGCTGCCGGCTGATTAAAGGAGAAATGGATACTGTGCTATCAACTCACAGGCCGTAGATATCAGTTTAGTTATCGCCTGGAAATAAGAACGCGGTGTAAAAACCCACAGCTGCCATGTCGAAACTGTCTATACTCTGTGAACTAGTAGGATATTTCTGTTTTCCGTCGGAGAGTCTAAGCAGGGAGGCATTTAACTAACCTCAAGCCTAAACGCCCGACCTTATAGCTTATTCACTTTGAAGGCCTGCAACTGTATAGTAAAAAACTAGCCAAAAAAACTATATAGTAATTTGCTTAACGCCTATCTAAACTGTAGCGTGAACTTACTCTTTGTGACTGTCGCAATAGCAGTGAAATACGATAATTTTCACCGAAATAGCATATCGCCCTATCTATATAAACTGAATAAATATTTTCGCTGACAACCTGATAATCCAGTATTGCTGTTGATAGAAGATTCTTTTTATACGGAACATCTCTCAGTAGTGCAATATAAGCAGCTTCTAGCTTGTTTTATTATTTTTGTTTCCTGGAATTTAAGTTGATTTCCTCTCCTTGTTTCTTCATTGCTTCTGAATGTTGTTCGTAGGATCTGAGGTTGAGAAAAGTTTAAAAGCAGAATAAGATTAGCCAGAAAACGTGAACTTCTAATTTATGGTTTTCCAGGCTTTTGTTTATACACATTTTGCAGTAAAGAGGTTTTCTTATCGATAATATTAACATGGTAATGGTAAGGCAAAGATAGCCGTTCAGGGGCC